TAAGTGTGTGCATGCATGGATGTGTAAGAGTGTGTGTGCATGGTTGTGTGCATGCGTGTATGTGCGCGAGCATTTACATGTACTTGTACATGCATGCATGAGTGAGTATGCAGTCATGTGATCTTGCATGTGTCCATGTTTGTGGCATGTATTAACACAAATTTTTGATTATTACAGGTGTACTCCATTCCTCTTGGAGGAATGTTAATCCGGCAGCCATTTTCAATCGGTGGCTCTGGCAGCAGTTACATATATGGTTACGTGGATTCCGTTTTCAAGCCAGGAATGTCACGGCAAGAATGTGAGAAGTTCGTAGAGAATTGTAAGTGTGTTTAATATCTCAGCCAGTAAGTTGCTCCACTGGACTATAGCAAGAATTGTTACTTTGAATTTTATGAGGAATTTAAGCGTGTTTGATGTAACAGCCGGTATATGGTACAATATAACAATGCTAGACCACGCAACCTCACTACTACGATGAAATGAAACAAGTTACTTGCACTCCATTGCAGGCATGTCTCAGTGCCCATGCCCTCTTGTTTTCAGCGCTGGCATTGGCGATGATGAGAGATGGCAGCAGCGGTGGCGTGATACGAACAGCAGTCATCACAGAGAAGGGCGTTGAAAGAAAGGTTATTCTTGGTGACAAACTGCCAAAGTTCTTTGAAGGATAGGAATCGCAGTCGGTGGCATTCCTTGACAGAGCGACGTATTCAGGAAATAAGCACAGATCGTAGCAATGTTACCCAAGGAGATAATAAAGATTATTATCTATGTCTTATGATGACTGTGATGACTGGAGTGTATGTGCATACGTGTGTGCATGAATACGTGCGTATGTATGTGTGTGAGCGTGGGTGCATTCATGTGTATGTGTGCGTGCGTGCACATGTATGTATGTGTACACGTCTGTGTGCGCGTGCGTGCATGTCTATAGTGTGTGTAACTCGGTCATTGTACTCCACCAGCGAGACTGGTTTTAACCAGTGATGCTGTAAAAAAAAGCCCAACACTCACCAGAGAAGGATCTTGTGGTCCCACTTTTAACTGCAGTCAATTGATTGTTGTTGCAAGACAGCTCACGCGTTTGTACGTGCGTTGCTATGGATTCACTCGGCTGGTTATGTGGGAAACAGCTCTACCGGTCTGTACGACTGTTCTTAAAACTGTTCGCACATGATACATGCGGCTAAAAATGTCGTGCTTCAGCGTTTGACTTCTGAAGCTGTATATTATTTGCAATCGGTTTTTGATACAGGTACAATGTACCACCTTCTATGCCCTAAGCGACGTGAGTATGTAATTTTGTTCCAACACAGCCATAGTGTTCCTACATTGATGTGTGGCTGTGCTCAGCGAGAGAAGTAACTTCGTGAATAAAACATTTTCGTTTTTGTCGTGACATGAACTGTTTGCTGTGCACAGAATCTGCGCGCGCTCGCTCGCTCGCAACACACTAATTACCACATATCAGCATTGTAAATGTGTTAACTAATTGGGTTTACGATTTTTCACGAAGATAAGTAAGCATCTTATGCTCTTAAGCATCTTAGGTCTCATTATGCTGAAGTTTTTTTGCTTGCAGCCACTGAGCATTCCACTACTGAAGTCATTGTCGGTCGTCAAAGGTTAAGTTAATATTTTTCATCTGCGTACGAATATAATCGCAAGCGGAAATGTTTAGATCCAAATTTTAGATTTTCGTCCTGAATAGTTGACCGAATTAGTCCTGATTGAAAAAACCATTAAGACAAGATAGATTGGTGTGGATTTAAAAGTCTGCAGTAGTTTTTCCACGATGGTCATTGGTATATTCCTCCTAAGCATAAGGATGTCGTTTTTCGAGTACAGTACAGTTTAAATGCCTCTATTTGATTACCTGAATTATAACGAGATTTTTCGTAATATCGTGTAATCTTTGAGATTTTTTGAATGAGTATATGCTGCTCCCCAGCCCACTGCTGCACATATTTCGCTGCTATACAAAGCATCAAGAGCTAATAATACCTTATTAGCTTTATACCTGCATAGGTATTATTAGCTCTTGAAAACGCATTATTTAGCCTTACGTGGAGTAGTGTGCTGGATTGCGTGGATGATGAAATTAGAGCTGGTACCAAATTTCGCCGTAACAACGACTGGATTAAGCCTAGTTAAAGCCGTACGTGTGTTGCTAGCGCTAGCTTTATAAACACTATTAAGCGATTGCGTGCGCTTCATTGTCCTATATGTCCAATATATTCCACATATCCGGCAGCATTAGTTTCGTATTCCACTTGCGTTTCGGTCGTGTGACGTACACACCGCGATGGCTCCCTCATTCCACTAGGTGAAGAAACATTTACTATACGAGCATGGTTCTTCCTGAGTCTCTGCCAGTGGGGCCTTATTCTCCTCTTCCCCGCTCCTTTTGCTTGGGCCATCCTTCTGCTTTCTTATGTGTCGTCCCTTATTCTCTCTTTCTGTCCTCAGCTATCTCGTTCTCACATCCCTCAGGACCTCATCACGCCCCTGTCCGCTTTTTCTCTCCCTCTCTCTCCCACTCTCTCTTTCTACCCCTCGGGCTTCTCTGCTCGCTCTTATCCCTCTCGTTGCTAAAATCTCGTCCTCATCCTCCTCATACGCCCTGTCGCTTTTCTCTCTCTTCTCTCTCCCCCTCCTCTCTTTCGAGCCTCTCCTCTGTGTCTCTCTGCCGCACTCCCTCTATCTCTCTTTCTGACATTCGTATGTTATCTCGTCACTCACCTTCCCTCACACGCCCCTGTCGCTATTTCTCTCCTTCTCTCTCGCCTCTCTCAGACCCCTCTATTCAGTCGCATTCGTTCTCTTTCTCCCTCTCACCAGTCGATCAAGCCACTCGACGGCTGTTCAATTGAATCAGGCGTGCAGGGAGAAGGAAACGAGCAGCGGGGTTCGGCAACGAGCAGGAAAGCACGGCTACGCTGGACGTGATGAGATGTCCGCCTATTTGCTTACCTCCTAAAAGAGTGCCCGTAAGTCTCGCTAACATTGTTACAGCGGCCGAAATTGTGCTTGGATTGCCGTTTTAAAAAAAAAAAAACGGAGGGACGCCGT